AATGGCTACAACCATCTATTTCTTTCTAGTCGCAATGCAAGTATACTCAGCACCTCAGACCTCCTGGCCCTCATCATCATGGCACAGAATATGTATCCTAGCAACGTGGATGTGGATGACCCAAGTCCAGAGGTACAAAGTGGTGACAGCCTCTCAAACAGCACCGACAAAGCATGTTGTTACTGAGTGTTTATTCTCTCTTTCTGTGCACTTTGCCTGAAGGATATCGATAGTACATCTGGTTCTGGCCATGAAAGTTTTTACACCCCAGAGCCCTCGCCTACAGACAAAGACTCAAGCAGTTCAGGTGGGTTGTTGAGTAGAGCTTTTGTGTTCAGATCATCAAACAGATTTTAACAGACAAGGATAAAAACGAGTAGATACAAAATGCAGATTCCTACGTCTCAAACTGTATCTGTGACCAGATTAAGTCATGTTAAGTGTGCAGAGCATGTTCCTCGTCATTTGTTTCTTTATTTTGTACGCATCACCAGAAAAGCCAGTGAGGGGAAGCACTCCTGTGTTTGAGTTTGTAGACCCAGACATCCAGGTGAGAATACATTTGTAAACAAAGTAAACAGCTTTCTGTTTGTGTGTTACCCTGACACAGTGTGACTCTAAAAAAATGCTGTATTCAGATGGCAGAGGACAGCTTGAGTACTCTAGAAGTTTGTCCACCTGATCCAGCAACCCCTCACAAAGTCTTCTTAGAGGTCTCGCAAAAAGATGGCCTCTATCCCATGATGCCTCACTCCATGTACTGTCTCCCACTGTGGCCTGGCATCACACTAGTGCTGCTAACTAAGGTTTGTGAATACCGACAAGCAAACAATGTGTGTATCAGTGACTCCATATGAAGTCGCATACAGTCTATATGTGCAGTAATTTGCTTGTTTACAGTATGTGCGCACAGACATATTGTGGTTTTGTGGCCAGTAGGGGGAGTCTTTTTGACTTATTTGGAGATACATTTATTTAACCTCTGTGCCATGAAGTGTTCACAGCATCTAAATATATTTTTGCTCAATTGTTTAAACAGTTTGTTTTTTTTATATTTATCTGTGTCATCTGTGTCAGTTTCCACACAGTGGAGTAGCCATGTCTGTGTATACATTTTGGGAAGCCTTCGCCAAACTGGAGAAGCGCTTAAATGAAGGCCAAGGAGGTTCCACAAGAGGCCAGCCTATGCATGAAGTGCGCAGCAAGCTGGATAAATTTCTTAAAACCCTGGCACTGAATGGGATACAGGTTTGTTTTTGTGTGTTGTTGTGCTTTTGCGTTGAGTGGCTGTATTCTTCTACACTTCCTCAGCGCTTGTCTGCCTTTACCACAAACACCCAAGTCAAAAAACTGACTTTAAAATACAAATTCCTTTAATCCTCATTTGTTATCACAGAAACACAGAATGTTTGCACTTGATCCAATCAAATCTTTTTCTTTTTTTTTTTTGTCTTTTCTTCTTCTAACCAGTCCTCACAGTTGCAAAATGTCTGGACCGAATTCAAAAACCGGGCCTTCTCCAGAGGAGGGCCTGGGTTCAGCAGAGAGTAAGTCTCTTACTGCCCTCTGCTGGCCAAATGACAGCAAGACAGTTTGATGACCCTGTGAGGCTTTAAATGTCTGTTTATGTTGCAGTCTTATCCCGTGGTGCAAGCACATGAAGACCCAACTGTGTGGCATATACCGACAGTGTTTTCTGTTTGACTCTGGACCAGACGACACTCCTCGTCGTCTCTCCCCTGGCCTGCAAGAACGGGCCCAGACCATGGTCCAGTGAGTGTCTGTCAGCTACTATTTTTGTTGTTATATTTTAAGTTTGCCAACTTGACTTCATTTTTTTATTTTGACACTGTGCAACCTCGTCCTTCATTGTTTTCTCTGTATCCTCTTTGTCTTCCTATCTTTGTCTTTGTCTCACTCTCTAAGGGAGAAACTGATGGACTGGAAGGACTTCCTGTTAGTGAAAAGCAAGAGGAACATAACCATGGTCTCATATCCTCTCAGTGCAGCAACTCTGTGATGTCCTGTTTTGTCTAATTTCTCTGCAACTGTTTTCTACAAAGCAGAATTTATGATATTTGTAAAAGTATATTTTGTATTTTTATGGTTTTTAACAACATGCATACACTTAAAAAAACCCAAAAAACAAACCCATTGTTATGCTGAGCGTATTAATCTTAACTGATTAATCTCACTTACCTGGAGGATTTCCCAGGCCTCGTCCATTTTATCTGTGTGGACCGATCAAGCGGACAAATGATAGCGCCATCACTCAGCATCACAGAGCGGACCACGTCTGAGCTGGGGAAGGGACCAGTGGCTCAGTATATCAAAAACAAGGTCACTAAAACTAGAACTACATCTTATTTGTTTTGGGGTAAAGTATAGAAGTCAATAGCCCCCTCGTCAATTCTTTCTATTTTTCTGGGAAAATGGGAAATGGGTTAATTGATTTATTGGAATGTGTCCAAACAGAGATGGAAATAGAGTATATCAAGCATCTTTATTCTTCAACACAGCCTGAACTTTCCTAAGCAAGCTTTTAAGTAGTCCTCAGGAATAATTCTCCGGGCTTCTCGATGGACATCCAAAGCTTTTCTTTGGCTGCCTTTCTCCTCTTTGCTGTCAAGATGATCCAACAATAATGTTGAGGTCTCAACTCTGGGGAGGCCAGTCCATGCTTTTGCTGTATGGGTAGTGTGTTTGGGATCATTGTCATGCTGAAAATTGAAGGTGTTGTCAATCAGATGGTATTTCATGGTGGATCAAAATCTGACAGTACTGTCTGTGTTCATAGCTCAGTCAGTTTTGACAAAATCCCATGACATACCCTCCACTGTCTTTTACAGATAACTGTAGACACTCGACTGTTCTACTCATCTCATCTCTGTACATATTGATGATTATTTGAACAAAAATTGTCAAATTTGAATTTTTACTCCATAAGATCTGTTGCACTACTTCAGTCAATTTCTCTCTTCAATGAACAGTAGACCTAATGGTCAGATGCATTTCTTAGTTGCTGTGTCAGGCCTTTGCAGGAATGTTTTCCATTTCTTAAGGGTATGACTTTAACATACTGTTCATCTGCTGTGTTTTAGGCCTGCCATTTCTTTTTTGGCCTTCACTTGTTCAGTTTTCAGTTACATTTTTAAGCATATGACAAGTTTTCAGCTAATAGCTTTTTGGGAATCACATTGTTGGTTCAAAAATACTATTTTATGTCTATCAAGCTATCTTATCTTTGGCATTTTTCCTAGACTCAACTAAAGAAATGTTAGCAAACTGTGTGTTTGTGGAACAGGCTGCTAGTAACAAAGGTAGTAAGGAATTTGAAGTAAGCCTTTTGCTAAGTTTTCTGTTACGTCTAGGCACAACATTAATTCTTCTTTTGTGTTAGGTGCCTTTTTTTTTATATCGCTCTGCAAATGGTCAGGTGCAAGGACTGGACTGAAAATTGGTGAAAAGGCAGGCAATATCAAAGAAAAGCTTTGAAAGACCTTCAGAAAACCTGGAGACCTATTACTCAAAAAATGACAAAGTCTGACTTCTTGGAAGCAAAATATGAAGAACTGAGGGGTGGCTCAAGATTTTCGCACAGTGTATAATGTCAGTTTGTAACGATTTCTCACTATGATTGTTAGCCAAACTGGCAAATAATTACTGTACATGATCGAGTGATATTTGTGCACACCGAAACCTGTGAAACTGTTTTACACTTGACATCTGAAGTCAAACATGTACAGATAGTTTTATTTTATGTGTGGTGATAAGTTTATGTGTCGACTGTTTCCTAGTGTTTGTGATAAATTAGGCCAGCTATCTGTAGCCTCATGTTCATCGTACATTAGGCTGTGTATAAGACAGCGTGTGAATAATCACAGTATGCATATTTTTGTCATTTCGTTTTTCTAATCCATACTGAAGATGTGGAGCCTGGTCAGCACAACACGGCACTATCTTCAGAAGGGTTACTCCACTCTAACATTACGTGATGGAGATTTCTACTTCTGCTACTTTCTCTGGTTTGAAAATGAAACTGTAAGTCACCGCTGTACTTTGTTCTGTTATCCATAAAAACAAATTTAACAGCCTGAAACAGCAAAAAAGCCTATAATTCAATTTGTATACCTCTTCAATCAGGGCTTCAAGTTGGAGGCAAAAGACATACCCATCATGCCCAAAGACTCCGCCCCTATCGGGGTGCTTGGTCACAATTACTACAGGTAACCAACCCGGTGTGATAGAAATATTTTTCTTTAATTTGTTCTCCTGACTAAACAAAGCGATGCATGTTGCAGGAAGCTGCTTCGGTACTATAGTAAGAATCACCCGGGCGAGACAGTGAAATGCTACGAGCTCCTAACAGTTCACCTGGGAGTCATCCCCACTGAGATCATCCTCCAGCACTGCAGGCAGCTGGCAAGCAAATTATGGGAGCCCTCACGCAACCCACTGCTGTAGACAGACCCACACTCTCACAGTGGGTCAGAGTAGCCAAGAACAAAAAAAACAACTCTTATTTTACATGTTGTGTTCTGCATCTGTTTCATTGTCAGTGTATTTTTGTATTGTGTTTAAAATCCTAAGACCCAAAATTATTTATTGAAAGCACTTTGATTTCTGATTAGATAAATCAAACCCCACTGTGCACTGTACACACCTCGTCTTTCACGAAGCATGTTCCACTTCCTAATTTTTGGGTATTTTAATATGTTCTTAAAAATATGTATTTGACTTATTTCTTATTTATTATTAATCTAAATATTTGTATCATTTTACTGAGATTTTTTTTTTCTTTTTAAAATTTGTGGCTGATTTTTTTTTGTTGTTGTTGTTGTTGTTTTTAAGAAATGCAGCTATTGTCCCTTTTTTGCCTTTACTAATGGCAGCGTAATAAGATGTATGAAGGAAACATAGTAATAGTAATTATGGTTTGTCTGTCTTAATAAATGATAAATAATTTTTGAGAAAAAACAATCAGTAGTCTCACATTCTTAGGTTTTATGTTTATTAAATTGTTGTAAACTCAGTTGAAATAGTACAGTGTGAACCTAGACCGTCACATTTCTGTGTGGTAGCACAATTTAGCTTCTCCTATCACAATTACAGAACAGGATCCAGTGATTTAACATGTTCATTGAATTGTAATGAGAAAAATTAGCCTCTACCGTCACTTGGAGTTAAATGTGCTCAGCAATCAGTTAACCACATGATGCTGTGAGCATTTTAGAATCAGTCTGCAGTGTGTAGAGTTCTTCAGTTCTGTATATCACCAATCTTTGACTCATACCCCTCCTGTTAGGTCAGTCACTACTCCTGCAGCCACCAGGTCCTTCAAGAAGAGTTTTTCAGCAGTTACATCATGCACCACCTGGATATAATCATAGGGGGAAAAATGAGTCGAAGCATGAAGCTCAGACGCCTCCTTGCCGCTGCTTTGATCATTAAGCTAAACTTACTTGAGACTTCATTGTGTCCATGCGTATGGCCTCATAATAATGAAGCCTGGCCTCAGGGTGCTGCATGTCATACCCAAACCCAGCCAGGCTCACCTGGTCGCAGAGCTGCAAAGCCATCACCACTCCAGTGGCACCAATTGTTGGCAATATGTTCTTGGGGAGGAAAAAAAAACGACCCGTGACGTAGTTTGCAACATAAGACTTCAGTCCCATTTCGTTAGAATTACTCAGCATGATAGCAAAAGCCCTCCTAACGGCTGTGAGTTTATGATTTTAAGTGAAAGTAATTTTGTTATTTGCACAGTCATTAATGTCCACAGATTATTCATTCATAGAAACTCACATTTCTCTGGTTCAGTTCATATTTCTCTATAACTTGGCCCATCTTGTGAATAATCTCTGGGTGGACGATCTTGAAGCTCTCTGGTGTCAGGGGGATATGATCCACAACTTCCTTCCAGAACCACATTTTAGACCAGAAGCTCTATTGAAAAATAAAAATAAAAGGAGATATAGGGTGTATATGTATAGTATAGTGCCATTGCTACATGACTTTCTGTGATGCTTGTGTGTGCAATATGCCCTTTCCGTGTGCAGTGGAGGATCTTGTGATGTGGCCTTACCAGAGGTTGTTTGGTGATGACAGAAGTAAGCCAGTCTAAATCTAGGCTCTTAAAGACCACCACAGCAAATATGCTAGTCTTTCTGTACTCGTTTGAGGAGTGAGGTGCTCCCTCTGGGTACGTCAGGCGAATGGTTGTCCTCGAACCAACATCTCTCTCAAAGCCGTGCACCGGAGCATTATTCAGCCTGGTAACACAGATGGAGCCTGTGAGATGACGACCATCACAACGGTTTAAAAATAGGCGCCACAGTCTGTCTTTGGTGTCCACTTGACACAGGAATGCATACCTGATAATGATGTCATACTGATCTATATGTGATCCAAGATGGCTCCCATGAAGAATCCCTCCACTACCCACCACCACGCATCGCGTGCAGCTGCCTTCTCTCTTCAATGATGGAGGCAGGCCAGGTTGAGGCAGAGTGGCGAGCGCTACAGCGAGATGCTGTTCGATGCCCTGAAACCCAAGAGGAGGAGACAGACTCCATGGCTCACGCCTCTCCTGCTGTATAAACACAGGGATGTCTTCGAGGCCAACGGGACAAGACAGGTGCTTGAGGTGGTTTAGACACCAGCGAGGCAGACAAGGTCCTGCCAGCAGAGAGGCTGACCGATTTAGTACGGCCTGAACAGAGGGAAAAACATTTAAGCTGAAAGAAAGGGAAAGAAACCATCTCAAATGCTTGCCAAGATGTACAAAGATGCATCTGTACCATATCTTTGGGTTGTTGATAGTCGTCTCTGATAGCTGCCACCTTGTCCGAGGGGAGATAAGCAGGAATCAGAATAGCCAAATAACATCCGATCAGCAGCATCAGGCTAAAGAAAAGGTTCTCCTCTCTTTACAGCAGATTGTTTTTTTTAATGCAACAAAATATAGTGTTAGTTATAAATAGCACAGATAATAGCCACAAAGGAAATGCAGTACTACAGATGTGCTGCACCTGTTGAGAAAAACATCTCTGGAGTCAGTCTTTGGGACCACTTTCTTCCTGTGAAAGGCTGGTCTTGGGGTTGCCGCTTCTGCGGCCTCAGGCAGCTGCAGAGAGCTGTTGTCCAGGTCTGCTACACTCAAGCGATTCTGCGTTACCATGGCGCTCATACTTTCACCTGAAACACACACAGTGCTGAACTCACGGCAGTGAACATAGTCTCCACTTTATAACAGCAACGTCACGAACTAAACTCTTTCTATGGCAGATACAAACCTCTGTAATTATAGACATTTGAGTAAAATTAACTGAAAAATGTGAGCTTACACTCTTTTAAAATGGTTTTTACACAGTAAAGAGACAAGATTAACATCAATTTGAGTAATATAAGCAACGGTACTCACAGCCTGGATGATAAAAGACAAGCTGATTGTTAACTGTGTCCTTGCCTGAGCTCCATGGGTGAGAGGAGAGGAGAAGAACATAACATCTATTGTTATGTTCTGCTAAAATGGCTGCTGCTGCTTCCTATCTGTCTGAACTCTGTCACTTCCTTCAGAGTTACTGGTTAAACATTAACATGTCACTCATTTGCAAACATTTCTGACTGAGTGGGACCAAGTGAGTGTGTATGTGTCTATACAATTAAAATCTGCATAAACACATCATGTGAAAGGGGGAAGTGTCAGACATGGTAAATACAACACTGAAGTACACCTACAAGGTTTTAAGCACTAAAAAGGAGAAGTGTTTGTGTAGCTGCCGCACAACCCGTTATCAAACAGCCCTGTATCATGTACTGTATGCAGACAAAGGCAGTTGATTTACAAAATTGATTTACAAAATCCATGCCCTTTGCTGATTTATCAGCAAAGGGCATGATAAAGGGCATGAGAGAGGTTGTTTTTACCTCTCTCAGGTAAAAACAACTAAAGACCCTCCCCCAGTGCACACTGGTCCTACCTGCAATTCTGGATGCAGTTTATCAAAATTAACCAAACAAAATAACAGACTGAGTGACCAATCGAGATATCACTTGACAGTGATCAAACCTATATAAATAGCATAATCCCTCAAACCAGCATGTTTATGAGAGGAATATTGAAGTAAAAGAGAAGGGTGTACTGTGGCAGCTACAGGAGGGAGTAAAACCAGGAGCTTATGCAGTGAATATACCCTCTGTGTAGGACATGCCTAAAGGGCCTGAAGTCTTTCTGTGTGTGTGTGTGTGTAGCATGTTTAGATATCTTTGTGAGGACCACAAGTTGGAATTCTACTATAGCTGTGGGGACAAAATACCCGTCCCCACAAGTTTGAAGGTTTTAGTGTCACATCACAATTAGGTTTAGGCACTCATTTTTGATGGTAAAGGTTAGGGTAAGCGACTAGGGAAAGCATTATGTCAACTAGATGTCCTCACTAGGATATGAAGACAAGTGTGTGTGTGTGTGTTTTGGGGGGTTGTGTGTTTGTGTGTGTGTGTGTGGGCATGACAGAGGAAGAGAGTGAGCGAGAATGTAGGTCTGGCAAGTACACGGCAAAGTACACACACACCTGTTTGTTGGAGTAACACAATGTCCCACCATGAAGTCACTGAAGTCACTGAAGCCATCAAGCCACTGTGCCCAACAGCACTTCTCTATAAGCTGTATGATCTGACAGTTTTATTCTATTATATTTTAGATTATTGAACATTTAGTTGTTCGATATTACTATATTATTATTGCATTTTTGCATATTTTACCCCAGGGATGGAAAAGGTTGCACAGTGGGCCGGTGTGATGGACCATGAGACAGGACAAGAAGAGAAAACCCAGGTAGGTAAAAGCTTTATTCCTGCTGTGGCTTTTGCAGTCATTCTTCTGTTGACTCCTAAAACGATAATCGTTTGACACCCCCTTTCTCTCTCTGCCAGCACAGACTATATAATGTATTTTTCTGTTGTTATCACAATATCAAAATTCCAAAAAGTTCTTAATGAGAAAAATTAAAAACATATGAGTAAGTGTTGCAGGTGTAGTGCTTGTTTGACATTAAATCTGATAACTAATACAAAAATTATGAACAGCACATGAGGCATTTTATCTGAAATGTTTCTATTGCTATGGCCAAGCCTGGTTTGCACTATGCTGTGAATTTGTTTTGACATTAACACTGTCATTCCCGGCTCTCAACACCCCATAGCTTGCTTGGCACCGCTGCTTCCAAAGCCAACATTCCCTCGCTGATCTAGGTTTTCAAACTGTGTTTGTTATTGTTCCCGTCATTTTTCAGGCAGATGAGAGAACGGGAAGAATCTCATCGGACCTGTGCAGCGAGAGGTTGGACCTGAGTGCAGAACAGGATAACTCAGCGCTGGGCAAAAGAAAAAAGAAGACCAAAAAAACATTCATGCCCAGGCTGTCTGTGGAAAAGCAAGTGGTGAGAATGATTTTCAGAAGCTGTGTCTTCATGTCAGAGATGTATGAAGTGAACCTCTGCCTCTCCTGCTCCTCTGTGTGTCTGTGTGGACAGCTAGAACCTGTGGATACTGCAAAATTCATGAACGCAGCCAGTGAGTGCAAACTGGATATCATAGACAGGTATCTGGAAGATGGTGGGAACCCAAATGCCCACGATGAGGTAGGGCTCTCCTTGCATCACAGTAAAACATGAATAAAATATAGCATGCTAAAATCTCAGCTAATAATATATTTACATTTGCCAGCTGAAGAGGACAGCACTCCACCGCGCCTGCCTGGAAGGACATGCTCCAGTTGTCCAAATGCTTTTAGGAAAAGGAGCTGATATCAACTTAAAAGATCAAGTAAGACGTGTGTGCACGCTGTGGGTTTGTAAAGATGATGATGGGATTGAGTGAGATTATCTTCTCAAACTAAAGCTCCTGGTTCTAGTGACCTGATGCCTGCACTTCTAATGGGATGGGATTGGGGGGTGGGGTGGGGGGTGGTGGCTCCTACTGTGTTTCAGCTGGGCTCTAGGGCCATACACTGGGCCTGCAGAGGGGGAAACCTGACGGTTGTCGAAGTCCTGAAGAGCCACGGGGCTGATCTTAATGTTAGAGATAAGGTAAATGTGAATTTTAGTGGGCTCTGCATTTGCACCAAACCACAGTCAGCCTCTAATTGAACACGAGTTTGCACACATTCCCACAATCTCAGATTATATCATTGTCTGTACTGCAGTTGCATAGCACACCTCTGCATGTTGCCACGAGAACAGGCCACACCTCCATTGTGGAATACCTGCTGTCCTGTGGGGCCTTAATCAACTCCAGGGACAGGGTAGGTGGCAACTCCGCTCCACTTCTGTGCTTCATGACCTCTACAGTTTATTTAAGTCATTAACAAAAATGCTTTTTTTAAAACCTGGTTTTAGGAAGGTGACACAGCCCTGCACGATGCAGTGCGTCTCAACAGATACAAGATAGTGAAGCTGCTCATAGTTGCAGGAGCTGACACAAAAATAAAAAATCATGTGAGTTTTTTTTTTTTCATCTTTAATTCTCATTAGTGTGCAGGTTAGCATGGGTGTGGAAATGTAAAGAACCTGGTTCACAGGACGGTTTTGATTTCCATATGTGCAAATACAATACTAGTTTGGTTATCTCATAATAAAGTGAGACAATGATGACAGTTTGCTTTTTTGATTCATACGAAAGGCAGTTTTGATCCAAGTCAAAAAATGTAGTTCAGCAGCACCTCATAAACTGTCAGACTGGTGCATTGTTTTTTGGTTGAGTTGTTTTTTTAAATGAGCAAGATGTAAGGTGTGATCTTCAGATGTGCTTCTGTTTTCTTTGAACAGTGCTTGCAGTTTCCTGTCTTCATGCTAAGATATTAACACTGTGGTGCATATGACATAATCACAAGTGTCACGTTCAGTTTCATGCCAGTGTCACACCTATTCATCTCTTTAACTTTTGCTAATTTGCGAACTAAAAGGACCAGGCCTCCACCGCCTTACACACACAAACCACTAGGATTATAAGCATTATATTTGTTATTACACTATATTGCCACTATTTTAAAGCATATTTACTGCCTGCATATTAAAAGCTAACATGGTTTTTGCTCACATCTCAGCACTCTGCATGCTATATACCTCAGTGGTAACAAAGTGACAGTGTGATTACAGGAAGGACTGACAGCAGTGCAGCAGGTAAAACAATGGCAGTTTGACATCGTGGAGACCCTGCAGAGGCTTGAGAAACTATGAATGTGGGAGTACTGTCGCCTTCTAACAACTCAGGGGAGGAGTGAACAGTGCAGCACAAAGCTGTGCATCTGTGCAAGGATCACCTCAGTTTACATTGCAACTGAGTGGTTACAGTTCTGCCGCATTTAACTAAAAGCCAGCAGATATCCTGGGATTGTTGAGGCTCTCAGTGAGCTAAAATCCACCTGGTTGATGATCCACCCTTGACTCATATTGTATATTCTTTCTATATCACTTTCTATGAGCATCTGCCTCAGGTTCTCGCTATAAAAATATATTCTGTACTTCTATGTAGTGCTGTGTAAATGATATTTGCATCTGCGTTTCCAGGACGTTACTGTAAAACCTCTAAATCAGTCTGAAAATATCAGTTGGGAATTAACATTAATATTAAAAAGTATCTGCTTATTTAAAACAGTAAGAAAACAACTCACAAGTGAAAAAAACAAAGCCAGCCTCGGGATTTTGAAACGAGGTTTAAAAGTGCTTAATATTGTTACGAACACTCTGAATATTTCACATCTGATTTGGGATGCTTTTGAAAGTTAAATAAAGCTGACAGAGATGGGGACTGTGTAAAAGTTGTTTTTGAATATACATTAGAGGTCCTTCTTTTATTGAGCCAGTGGGCCAGGCCAGAGAACGCATTAGCCCTGTGTTTGAGACGCCAGCTGACAGCAGCAGAGATGATGGGTATGCCTCCCGCAAAAGTCAGCGATTCAGCAGGAGCTCAGCAACATATTTTCCTTCTATCATCAGAGGCTCAAATGTTCCTGAGGGACATTTGTCATTCACGCTGGGGAAACAATTTGCTGCTCTGCTTATACTGTAGTCTTTTAAGTACAGTAGCATATTCTAAAAATAGCCAGCACAGCTTCCTAAACAAATATTGTGGTACTGCTGTATTTCTCACAGTGCTGGTGTAAAATGTTGTTTTTTCATGTATCACTGTGCTTATTGTAGGCAGTGCATCAGATAAACTATCACACACAGACATGTTTCCCGTTAAAAGCAATGCTGTGTAACTGTCAGGGACACTGGGGAAAACAATAGAAGGTTATTCACACCGTGAGCAAGTGTTATAGTTTTATTTTGTCGACCTAATCTTAGCACGGCTTTTGCTAATCTGTGTATATCAAATGACAGTTTTAGAAAAGTGATTCTTTTACTTTTTGAGGTTTAATGTTCTCAGCTCTTTGTGAGTTGCATGCTGCTTTGTTGTGAGTTAGGGCTGGACAGCGAAAAAGAGGGGGATGGGGAAGCTGGAGGTTTTCCCTCTGTGTTGTTGCTATGGTGGA